ATGGACATGTGCCCAGGGCTTACACATGCTGGAAGAGTTAGCCACATACTTTAGCAAATAATGCAAAAATTTAAGTAGGTTAAACCTCTGTCTAAGGTAATGGTGACCAAACTCTCACTGGGTTAGCCCTCAGGGAACCAGGGTGCAATAAAATTAAGCTCTGAGGAAATGCCTTCACTCCCACAGCACCAGACCCAGCTGTGCATGCAGGTAGGGAACACCGTAAGGGAGTCCCTCGCCACGTGGCGTGGGCTGGCCACTGGTTCCAGGAGAAGCAAAATGGCACATGACCTGACCCCGTTTTAATGCCCAGTGTTTGCCATTATTATATATGCACAGCTCCTGAAGGTCTCACATAAACACAACTGCATTTCTGGCTGAAGAGAAGCCCAGCTAGTCTCCAAAATATAGCTAATAAAAATCAATGCCATCTCCATGCTATCCTTTCTCATATTTCCCTCTCAAAGCATAGACAGTAAGCAAATTTTATGGTCACCGCTCCTAGCAAGATGGAAACTGCCATGAGCAAGGGTTTCGAGCTCCAGTGCCAAACACACTGCATCATGGCAGAGCATTCCTGACAAAATTCTTCACTTTTGAAAATTTAAGGCACCAAATTGAGCAAAAGTGAGGGGTCTCCATGCAGCTTGGTGTCTTCAGAGCTGGTATATGCAGCCTGTAGAGCTCACTTCATGAGGGCAGAACAAGCAAACTGATTTACTCAGCTGCCCCTGCAAAAGAGCATTTGCAGCCACAGGAGAGTTTCAGTTTAAGCCTACAAGTTAATCGAACAGCAGATTCAATCAGGAAATCCAAAACAGGAAGATAGACACTAATATACAGTACTGTAAGGCACTCCTACTGGGAAGGGAAAATTGGAAGGCAAATTATGAAGGAGAGAATGATCAGACTCGACTGGTTCAAAAGCAACACAATGAGCTACGAAGCTCAAAGTCTAGCTGTAGGCTCAGCACTGTGAGAAAAGACAGGGACAGAGACAGTGAGAGAGAGAAGGGGGACTGGCTTGCAGCTGAGCAGCAGGGAAAAAAAAAAGAGAGAAGATTATGATGATTATTCCATTACATTTCTTTTATACAGATTAACAGCCGGCTGCAATCTAGGCTGTGACCTTGGGAAGCCCGGGAAACTCAGTGGCTTCTGTCACTACAGGGAAAAAGCAAAATACAACTGTGCAGCTTCCACATTTCATTGAAAACAGACATCCTCTGCTTTTTTTTTTTCTTTAAGTCTTTCAGGACATTATCATCAATCCATTATAACACACATAGTATCCTGATACTAAGAGAAGCCTTGACAAGAGGACCTCTAGAGGTACCCTGCTAATCCACTCCTAAGAGGGCCATCAGAGCCTGTAGCATGTTGTGAAAAACTCAAAGTCCTCACCAAAAAGTACCTTCTCTCACTTATCTAGGAAACCCTCACAACTGCCAATTCCTACCATCCCAGAAATAAGCTCATATTCCTATGTGCCACCCAGGATATTGTGTCACATCACAAAACCATCATTTTTCATCACCTAAGATATACAAAAAAAAACAATGGAAAGATTTCCACATAAGAGATTCAAACTTCTCTTACTATAGGTTGATAATATTAAAAAAAGCTGCATCCCCTAGGTAGGTCCACCTTCCCATTAAAGGAAAGCTAAAGGGTCAGGGCAAAGAGGAAAAGAGGCTTGAATATGGATCTCTACAGTGTCCTAGATTAAAATAATCTCAGACTAACTAAACTGACATGGAAAGTTTCTAAGTAGTTGTAGAGGGTGTGGGCTGCAGAACGGGAAAAGAATAGCAGTGGGGACCAACACACAGCACTGTTAGTAGAGCAGAGACAACCGTGCAAGGGTACAGTGTTTTCTGAAAGCCAAACCATCTACAGAACCCCAGGCTGAGCCTCCTGCTAGCAGATGGCTCTTGCAGGAAAACTGTCCTTTTAGAGTTGGATCTTTTGAGAGTTAGTAATATGAGCAGTAGTTTCAGTTTATTCTTTTGCCTTGCAGTCCTGAAAAATGAATAGGGCTCCTTCCTACTGCATCGGCACCTTCTGAGGGCAGAACCAAGCCTTTCATTATGCTTATGAAAGGCAGTGACACAAGACTTTATTTTACCTGTTCATATGGAATAACTTTTTTTGCATAGGAGCTAGGCATCCCTGAGAGGAAAGCATCTTCCACATTACAGTCTGCTCCTATAGCTACCATGAGAAACTATATTACTTTTCCAAAGTAGAAATTAATGTAAACCCATTTTAGGAACTGGCTTGTTACAACAACATTTTAAAAGAAATGAATTGTATGGTATCCTTTTACATAAAGCTTTGGGCACTGCCACCATATCATAACAATATGCTTTTGCTCTTTGCCATTTGTTATGGCAGTGGCTCCAGACCCACGACTAACTCCAGCGGTTTTGCCGACATCATACTCTTTTTTTTCTGCAAATGTCTGTCAGCAAAGAAACTGTTCTGTAATACCTGTACAAACCCAGAGTAACTCCACCGCTGTCTATGTTGTTATTCCAGAATTCAACTAAAATATCTAACCACCCACACAATTGGTACTTTGGAGATCAGGACATGTTTGTCAAAGTAACTAACAGTTTGCAATGTCTGAACCTTGATTCGTTGTCTCCATAGGTTTTTTGACAGTGCACACACAAGCAGCCTTCTCTAAACTGAGCTGGACATGAACCAGCACTGTAAGGTACCTTAAATATCAGAGCATGATGATATGAAAACCACCACCTTTTTTTCTTTAATGACCCATCATTATGTCTAGAGCCAATTCAAAATAGTACCTGCCAGATTCTGACAGTTTCAGAGCTACTGGCTTTGCCACAGGACTAGTTGTAGTGACACATGCTGTAAAACATGGGAGTGTACTGTTTATTCAGCCAGTACCACTGCAGTTCCTGTTTGCATGACTAATTCCACAATACCTTCCCAGTGTTTGCATTTGTGAACATGCAGGGAATTCTTCACGCGGGAACAGACTTGCAATGAACATTATATCTTTAAGGATGATAGTTGAAAGCAACTCATTTCACAAGCGGAGACACACATCGCTATGTAGTGAAAGTATTAACTTTAGTGACAAAGGTGCATGATTCACCAGGTTTATTAAATACGGGAATCCCTATACTACTTTGCCAAGAACATGGAAAAACCCTCACTTCCTTCCAAAGAATCCCACTGGGAGAAGGACTTCTGGAAAAGAAAGGCACTGGTTGTCTAATGTATACAGATATAAACATGCTTCTATATATATAGTAGTTGCACTCAAATTTGAGAAAGCTCAGATTCAGCTACGTTGACTGGAGGCTGGAAAAGGTAACCACTTATACTCCAGTACAAGGCAATTCGTTGTAGCATTCTACCTTTTAATGTAAGCATGACGTACCCTGTTGTTTCACTTAAAATACTTGAGCAATTAGTGAGGTGCTTCAATGATCAAGACTGCTTTCTGCCTTGAATACAACAGCCTGCAGATAATATAGGAAGCAAAGATCACTATTCTGCATTTTCAGAAACGTATGTGAGAAGAGAGGAAAAACACATATGCATGTGATTGACTTTTTTCTCCTGAAACCATATTTGCTTTCTGTGTATAGATGTGTGTGTATATCTTTGAATGCTTTTATATGTAATACACATATTACTGCAAGGTCTGCAGAAAGAGTTAAGAATGTGGGCTGGAGGGAAGACGATCTCTAAGTGTCCACTGGAGGTGAAGCCACAATGAATTAAACATACTGCCAGTGATGAAATACATCTCCCCAGTTAAATCCATCATGTACTCCCCTTTCACAATACATGTAATTCACCGTGCTTAATACTTCCCTGTGTTCCAGGTGTGTGGAGCAGAACCATACCTCGAGGAACTTCGCTTTCCACCATGGAAGTCATTACAGAAGTATAAAATCCCTTAGAGCTTGCAGAGGATTCAGGACACAAGTTGCACGTGAACACAGCAAACTAGTGTTCCACAATTTTGGAGGTATTTTCTAATTAACATGGGCAAAACCACTATCCTGACTATCAGTCTAACAGGTTCAGGTTAGAGAAACATTTAAAGTAAACTTCATGAAATAAAAACAAAACCAATGTGGACACTTAAAATGTCTTAAAATGTGAGACTAGCAGGAGGTCAGAACCAGCATCATGTTACTGGAGATGAGGACGAGGCCTCACATAGATGAAGAATTACCAGCATAAAACTCAGTGGACTTCAGTGATAGAGCTTAACCAGTATACCTAGCCCAAACAAAAACAGTAGCAAGTCCCCTGCTTATCTACGTATGGAATAGTTCACTGGGGTTGTTATAAATATAGAAGCATAGCTGAAGGAATTATTCTGCGTCTTACGTTTGCAAGCACCCTGAATAAGGTTTGATGGAGATACTTTTCTTTCCTCAGCGAGGAGTGACATGTAAATGCACTGATCTTTTAAAAAGCGCGTTCTGGAAACATGAGGAAATGGAACCATGTGTCCACATCAGAAGGAGCACGTGAATTTAAAATCATTCCTGCCCTATGGGGTTCTGTGAAACACCTCAGCAGAACCTCTGCCAAGGCTAATAATAAATAAATAACACATATAAATAAGTAGATGATTCATAAATTCTAAATGAACAACATAAGAAAATAATGTGGTCACCAGCAGCAAGTATTTTCTGCCTTGATGAAAAGTCTTCTTCAGAGGTGGAAAAGTTGGGTGCTTAATTAGCTAGACATAAAGCATTTCAAGTAAACCATATTTTGTATGAGAGCGAGCGGCTGGACTTCAATGCAAAAATGCAGTTTAGCCATAGGTATTTCAAAGCCAACAAGGCTTTTTGACCACTTTTGGCAGCTGCTATTCACAGATGAAGAAGGTCAGATACTATTTTGCAAAAAGATTTCTGCCTGGCTAAGCTGAGAAGTTGCTTGAGCTGGCAGCTGAGAAAGGGATTCTCTTCAGGCTGGCCACTGCCTTAAGGAACTCATGTGTTCTGATATGACAATTCAAACATGTTGCAAGACTCTTCAAAGTTTTCGTCCATATTCAGTCGCCTCCAGAAGGATTTCTGCTTCTTCTGCAATTCTTTACGCACACACCTGGGGCATGGTACAGCCTTCACTTTGCACTCAGAGTGGAAGACAGCACCACAGCTTTCACACCTGCAAACACAAATTAGCGTCAAAATTGAACGACAAAATAGGACCAGAGCATGCAATGGACTTCACATGGACTGTGGGCAGCAGACATTCCTTCAAACAGTTCTGGTAGCTCAAAGAGGGCTATGTTTCAAAAGAGTGGAGTTGTAAAAGACACTGGCTTGCCCACACCTCTGCTGGTGTAAAGCTACTCAGGACCACTAAAGTAAGTTGACTTGCATCCATTTGCAGTTGCTGAGAATCTGTCCCAGCACTTCTGCTTCACAGGCAGAAGTTTTTAGAAGGATTAATATTTTCTTCTTATTAACTAGTATTCAGGTCTATCACAGAATAGACATCAGTTTTGTTTTAGGAAAGACAAGTTTGTTGCTTTGCTTTGTAAATGAAGAGTAACAGTATTCATTTCCATTAAGATATATTTCAGCATTTGCAACAGCCAACTTATGCCATTTTCCTCATTGAAGTTCAAGTGGTCAGCCGTTCTGGAAACGCTAAAATACAGTTCACTTCAACAGCAGGAGAAGAAGTCATTCCACAAAGTAAAAAATGAAACAGAGGTAGGTGATACTTTCTGTTCTCCGTCCTGTGGAAGATCAGACTAGATCAACACAATTATAGCTTCTGGCATTCAAAGCTGTGCTTATCTGTTCTCAAACGTGGTATTATGACTTTAAACAAATCAACTGCTCAAACAAGATGACTGGATTACTTTTGGGACACTCTGAGGCAATGGAGGTAATATCACAGCAGACCAAGCCCCAGTTCCAGCTAGCTGTGAGCAATGAAACATCTGGTGATCATGGAGTGGGCTAAAACTAAACAGCTGGACATTCTCAGCCTTTCAATGCAAATAACTATCTGTGGTGATGAGTCAAGTCACTATAGCTTTGCAGTGAAATGAAAAAAATAAAAGGATGACAGTGTCAGAGGTACAAAGTCTTAGATGCCAGTCGGATAATCAAATAATGAAAGCAACAAAACATCAAACTTCAGAACAATTCTGAAATACAAATGAGGGGTACTGATCACCCTGGTGATTCTGTGGGAAGTCTTGAAATGCCTTGCACTCTTCCTTTTTCACAGCTATTGCAGTCAAATGGCTATATGAGAATCGAAGTATCCATTGTTATATCTTTAGTGAGTTTTTTGTTTGTTTGCTTTCAGCTTTTTTTGTTGTGTGGTGTTTTGGTTTTTTTTTTTTAGAAATAAGGTTCTTGTCTTCAAGACTGTGAAGAAAAATTGAAAACGTGAAGAAATAAACTCTAAACACTGAGAAGCTGTAAGGCAAATTGTAGTACTTGGCATGCAGTCTGGCAATACTGAGAGAAGTCCATAAGCTAATACAACTTGTTAGCTGCACCAGCTGCATCTGCATCTCACCTGTAACTTTAAAAAAACTCTTTCTGACCTGGCTGCACTTTAAGTTTTATGCATGGGTCCAAACATGGTCTAAATTTTAGTAACTGCAGAGTTTTGAGAAGGCTATGCAGAGGTTTAGAGAGGCACATTTCTAGCTAGCATAAACTGATAAAGCTCAAGTAACAAGAAGAGGAAGGTTAAAGAGGCTAAGTATAATGCTGTATATCTACTAACTTCTATGCTCTCTTGCAGTAAAACTTGACTGTCATATTTCTAAGTCCATCCAGCTAGTGAGTCTAAATCTGGTTTTGAATCAAGAAACTGGCTCACACAGATATATATATATAATTTCTGTGCTCAGAGAGTGTGTGTTATGGCCCTGATCCAGTGAAGCACATAAACACATGCTTAGGACTCATATCCCAGTGATTTCCTTGGGATTACTGATCTGCCTACAATTAAGCATGTGCTTACGTGCTTTGCTGGATTGGGCTCTCCATGAATAGACACACTAATGGATGAGGGAGAGACAGAGAAGACAGCAGCATCTTTAAAACTTTACATCATTCTGAACTGACACTAATGGTGATTTTATCAAGCTAATTCTCCCTTGTTAGTCAGCAATTTACAGTGCCCTGGAAGTTGCTAGAGGGTAATGATTGATGAGGAGTGTAATTTTGTGCTCTCACATTGCCACTCCCTACACTTGCTCAATATTTCTCCTCAGTACATATGGAGGTGACAAAGCTTACCAGAAACTGCTGCTGAAATGGATGGAGCAGGATAAGAGAAGAGCCAGCACACCTGCTCTCCCCAGTCAAAAGCTATCAGCAGAGAAAACAAAGATTGATGGTGTTTAAATTAATATGAATTAATTTTTCAGAAACAAGCTCAGTGGAAAAAACTAACAAATTCCTCTCACATCACTCAGAACCAAAAAAAAGAGAAGAAATGTCTGCACTGTTATTTATTAGAGTTGGTGCAATAGCCGAAGCTCTGACCAGGACCCCACATGATCAGGCACTAACCAGAGGCAGCACAAACAGCCAGCCTGGATCTCACAGTCCATTGCACTGGCAGCCATCGTGACCGTCGTCGGTCCATTCTGGCTCCCCCACCCTTGACTGCCACCCTGAAGACCTATTTTCTTCTTTCGCCAGTGAAGACTGATGTACTCCTAGGCCCAACCGCGGGGTGCAGATGACAACAAAAGAGCCGCGTGGAAGAACAGTGCTCTGAGCTGGAGAACAAAGCTGTCTCTTGCTCTTCGTAGGGACAGGTAGAGACAATACCTGGGTCAGTCTTCACTGCATGCTTGTATCCTCTCACTGCTAAAGAAACTCAGTCAGCAGGGTCGGGGGACAATGCTGATCTCGCTCTGCCTTTGTGCAAATGGTAAGGTAGTCCCTTTAAAGTGATGGAGCTATACTACCCCAACCCATCTACAGCTTTGCTTCTCACAGTATTAAATACAGTCAGTCTTAACTTACCCTGGAAAAGTCAACTGGTTGACCACTCCTAATCTCACCGCAAGAAATTTTCCAGTGATACCAAAAACCCCAACAAAATTATATTCCCTCTTAGAATATTACAAACAGATTGCTTCTTATTTAATCCTGACATCTAATTTTATCTCCACATGTGAGTTTCACAGTTTTTCTTTACTGTTGTTTTCAAGCCTCAGTATTCCAAAATGCCTTTATTTCTCCAGAGAAAAAAGACATTTTGTAGTCTACAAAAGGCTCACCTAATAGTTCAGTACACTTACTTATCTTTCCCTTAACTCTTCCTGTTGTCATAGGTAATTCACAGTCAGGTACTATTTCTGAATCCTGACTTCTTTGGCTAGAGGCCAGAAAGTCTCTCCATCTTTTGTGAGATTTCTATACACCACTGATAATAAGCTGATGGGCCCGTAGCCATTCAGGACTTTCATATTTCCTTCTTTAATAAATGATATTGCGATACTGCACATTAACAGCATCTTGCTATTTTTCAGACATTACTTGAACAACTGGTGAACATTGCATGTTGTTTTCATTCAGACTTTCAGTCTTCTGAGGTGGCATCTGAAATACTTTCCTCTCTATTTCAGTGTTTTCTCTCTTTTTTTCTCTTTCCTGACCAACTCAATTTCTGTTGAGACTACAGGGGGTGTTTTATGTTTTACGGACATTTTACTTGTTTGAACACCAGAGTAACAAAAATGCAGAGAATTATTCAATCCTCTAAATAATTTCTATTGCACTGAAAAGTGTAAGAGAGAAAGGGCAAAGCTCTCCACAGCCAGACAGGTATTATAATGCTCTTATTATTATCATTACTAGTTACAAAAGAAAAGCCTTGCTACATTAAAAGCATAAAATCATTCCTTGTATGCTGAGGAAATGTCAATGTTAATATCTCCCATTAAGTCTGGGCATTTGAAACGCATACATACCAATATTTGGTAAGTTGTAAATTCTTTTCATGCTTCCCACAGGTATTTCACAGGCTTTTGGCTCAAGTAATTCCAGATTCTGGACAACCAATTGATTACACTCCTATTTCTCCTCTGTACTGCACCACCATTTAGGCGCCCATGGGTAAGATCAGGTGCCCAAAGAGGAGCTGCAATACAAAGAAGCTTCAAAGATCTTCCACCTTAAGCAGACAAAATAAACCAGGGATGATCAACTGGTGGCCGAGGGTGTCATCTGAAAGACAGTTTTATTTGTCTTCTAGGAACCTTACAGGTTAACAGACTGACCAGCGTGACCTTGTTGGGATGAAGCTTCTGGGATCAGCAAGGTTTATTAGAATAGCTTCGGTACTACGCACAGAGGCTGTACCTGTCTGGCTTCCAAACACCAAGTGGGGAATCAAAGCAGCTCATGGTTATGCTGTTCATCCCTGAAATGAACAAATGGTGGATGACAGATATACCACCATTCCCACCTCACAAATGGGAAACAAAAGGTGAACTCACTTGCTCAAGGTCAGCCAGGAGCTCTTAGAAGAGCTGAGAAGGGCAAAGAGCTTTCCTGTCTCACTGCAATGCCGTGTTCACCCATCATCCTTTTTCTTGTAATATTATATATTAACTTCTTTTTTTTCATTTAAAAAGCCCATTTCCTCTATGCCAAACCTTGCACACATCTGCTCAAGTGAGTAATCCCTTTAAAGGAATTTCAGTAAGGATTTGATTTAGGGCTGAACCCTTCAATGACTAGAACTCTTCAGGTTTTTTCCTTTCCCTTCATGCAAAGTGAAAACAAGATAAAATAAGGTTGTTCATTATGTTTTCTTTAGCTGATGCTATACATTCACCAAGCATCCAAAATACTAAGCCACCTGTAACTTGGCCATTAAAAAAACCCCAAAGAGCAAACCACAGTAGCTGAAGTAAACCTTGCCTGGGGATTCCAGCCTGATCACCATCCCACACTACGGACGTGTGCCTGTCTGTAAGTATTTCTGAATTACTCAGCTGTGAGTATCACAGACGCACCCTTCAAAACTCTCAGAGAGTTTAGCAGAACACAAAGGAAAAGAAAACGGACTAGCCTGTGTTCACTTACAACACAAAAAAAGCCCCAAAGGCAATCAATGCCTGACACACACGTGCAGCAATATTATTACAGTTGCCTAGGAACCAACCCAAG